GTTATTATATATATATATATATATATATATATATATATATATATATATATATATAGTGCTATTCCATAAGGACAAAGAGGGAGGGGCTTTGGCCGTAGTCATGCATGCGGACCTTTGTCCCCGGCCTAGACTCTCCTTGATACTGGCCCTATCTAAACCCACCTTCTAACTTCCAACAATCACCTGCATAAAAGCGTTGTGCCTCGGCCAGGCGAAGGACTTTTCCGAGGACTCCAACCAGATTTCGTGAGCTGGACACTGACGTGTCTTGCGAGTCATTCCACTCTGCTGATACTGGAAGAGGCCGCCGTCCGAGAACGCGAGGGCCCGGAAAGTGGGCCTTACGTTTGGCCTTTTGTGATCAGACCAGACGCATGTTGGAAACGTAAGCGCCGGCCGTCAGAAGCAGAGGCCCGGGAGGCGCACTCCTGTGGCGCGGCTCCGAACTGCGCCACGTCGTTTTTGCCTTTTTTATTACGATCATTGCGTCGTCCGTCTGCCTGCAAGTTTTTATGCTCCAAGACAACGGCTGGTGTGGGCTGAGCTCTCTCCTTGGCAAGGGGAGATGAGGGGGAGGTTGTCGGTGACAAATAGAGCCCATTATGTATGCTAGCAAAGTATGGGAGGTTCGCGCTATTGAGTACCATGTGGAGAACGCCTCAAGCTGGCGGCAAGCACCTCACCAGGTAGCCTCGTCGCCATATCGAGGGCTGTGCGGTGGTCAGAGGGAGGGTTGATGGCAGTTGTCCTGCGTGTGTGTGCTGTTGCGTGCCGCTTGACAAAAGTTCAGGCGGACGGACACGCATCAGAATTGAGTTGCGTTTTGTCTGAGCCACTCACTGCCTTCTGTCCAACCACGCGGAGTTTACCCATGCTACGTCTTGGAACGCAAAAGCGCATGTGGGTAAATGGCGAGAAACCAGGCAATTATCTGGCACGTCTGGGTGCTGGCGGCACCGTGGAGATTCGAGCGGTATTTGGAAGAAGTTCGATGAGATGCACCGCCCGTTGGGCGATCCAGAGAGCCAGGCACACCAATCACCAGACCCGTGGCCAAATCTGCTTCCTGCATGAAACAGGCGCTGACGGATGGCGTAGGTCACGGGCGCGTTTGGGCCTGTTGGGCCGCCAGCGCCTGGCACAGAGCCGATCAATGATACGGTGAGGCCCAGTGAAGGGTCAACAATGAGCGGTCGGTCGGGTTCTCGTAGCATCAATGTTCCTTCCAGACATGTGTTGTTTCCCAACCTTCCCGCCGTCCTTCTGCGTTTTCCGAGGCCACACCGACAATGGATGCGCCTAGCCGAGATAGTAGTGTCATGCAGAGTCAACCCGGGTCACCACAGCAGTCAAGGCGAGCCGTCAGACATCAGGTCCATTTGTTCATGTCAATCACGCCAAGCTCCACAAAATGCTTCTTTCGGCAATCTCCAGGGGAAATCCAACGATACCGGCTGCTTCCTTGAGCTTGTTTTTCTGGGCGCCGAGCGATTGCCTGCTCGTTTTTATTTTCCCATTTTGTCTCTAGCCTTCGCTTCTATTGTGTAGCTTGCTGCAAGAGTGTTGCCTTCAATCCCCCTCCCTGACGTGTTGATGTCATAATTCACGGTCATGGAAGCACGCACGGGCGGCTCCGCTTACGGACAGCTCGCTTAGATGCACAAAAAACCGGTTGCTTTTTGCAGAAACGGCCAGTGCTGGCGTTGGCGCCGCCCTGTGTTTCCAAACGAGCAAACACCAGGCGCGGCCTGGCGCGGAGTTAGACCGAAACGGGGGAAAAACCGATGACGCTTAGATACACCAGCCATAAAGCCCGCATCGTCCGCATGGCCCGATCTAGATCTACAAACCTGGCAATGCAGGACATCAGCCACGTCGTATTCCATACGAGTAACACCTATAGATACAGGAGTCCGCGCATGTTCTGTCGACGCAATCGCAAAAAACGAGGGACACCAAGGGGGGAGGGCCAATCCGAAGTGGAGGAGGGAGAAAAAAAAGTTGGAGGAGCAATATCAGCCTGATGTGTGGTTGCGGCGCTGGTTCGTAGTGGTAGACTCTTGGCATTCCCAAACCGGCAAAGCGAAATTCGATCGGCCGGTCCAGTGAGCAGCTGCCGCGCACGAAACGAAGTGCGTCCTTGTCCGTCGTCTGGTCGTGGGATGGCTGTATCCCCAGGCCATGCCCATTCCGCCTTGGCTGGGGAAATCGGCCGGCGTGGGTGACGCAGTCCCTCCCCGGCTTTTTTCTTGAGTTTGCTCGCGCCCTGCTGGCAGTGGACGCGAGGAGTGAGGTGGCGGGCGGCTGCGGGAGGCCTCCAGAGGAGGGAGGAAAGGGTCCGGGGAGGTCAGCCTCGATTGGATGGATATGTCCCCAAATTTCGACCAGCCAAAAAGCCCATCTGGGGTCCCTTTGGCGTTATGTTATTTTTTTTCCTGCATTTTGTCACACCGCGTCCATCCAGCCCGGTCGACGGGCAGCAACCAACCTGGCTTCACCAGAGACCACCCAAACCCACACTCATCCTGGCGTTTGCGCACATTCCTTCCTCCTGCCCGCAGCTCGCACTGGAACGTGCAATTTTGGGTTGGTTGGTCCTGTTCTTCTGGACGTATGCTTTGCACAACCGCTTCCGGAAAACCTACGCTAGGTTGCTTGGTGCCAACTGCCCGCATTCAGAATCCTACTTTTGTTTATCCTCCCCCTCAAGCTTCCCTTTTTCCATCTGCGTCCTACCTGCCGTTTTCGTTCCAAAAATTCTCTTTATTCTCTGTCCCGAGGGCGCACTTTTGCCCTTTTGAGGCAAGCCGACCCCGAGCTCGCGCACACCAGCTCGCGCTCCGACCTGGTTCGACCGACATCATAACATTTGATCCTCAATTGCGCTCAAGACGAAGAACAGTATCAGTGGGCGGCGTGTCGTCGAGAATTATATTTTCCCGCAATGGCCGAGAAAGGGCCACCCGATGCCGGAAATGGCAATGGGGACGCTGTAAGTCTATTCGATCACTGCCGTTGTGCACTGCGCGCGCTCCGCTAGGTTGTTGGGTGCTCTCATGGTGCCGGTTATCCGGCCATTTCCCACCTAGCCCAGCCCAGCCTTGCCCCAGCTTACGTCGCCCCCCGACATCCTGACTGACGGGCGGCTGCTCCACCCACAGTCCACCACAGCGTCCCCCACCAAAGCCAAGGACGAAGAAGCCAAGAAGGACTTCAAGATCGACCTGGACGATGCCCTGACCCCAGATCCCGGCACCGAGGACATGTTCCTGGTGTCGGACAACCGCTTCGCCTTCACGCCTGGCCAGCTGTCCAAGCTCCTCAATCCCAAGAACCACAGCGCCTTCTTCGCCTTCGGCGGCCTGTCGGGCCTGGAGAAGGGCCTCCGCACCAATCGCAAGACCGGCCTGGGTGCCGACGAGACAACTCTCGATGGTACCGTCAACTTTGACGACGTCGCCGCCAAGGGCACCTCGCGCCTGGGCGCCTCGACCGAGGATGCCGTTGCCAAGGCGGCGGCGGCGGGCGCTCCCAAGGCGGCGGCGCCCACCACCACCCAGGACGGCGGCTTCGTAGATCGCAAGCGCGTCTTCAAGGACAACCGCCTGCCGCCGAAGAAGACAAAGTCCATCTTCCAGATCGCCTGGGAGACGTACAACGACAAGATCCTCATACTGCTCACGGGCGCCGCCATCGTCTCTCTCGCCCTCGGGTTGTACCAGACGTTCGGCGTCTCGCACGAGGGCGGCGGCGCAAAGGTGGAGTGGGTTGAGGGTGTTGCCATCATGGTCGCCATCCTCATCGTGGTCCTGGTGGGCACGGTGAATGATTGGCAGATGGAGCGCAGCTTCGCCAAGCTGAACGCCAAGCACGACGACAAGACGGTCAAGGTGATCCGCTCCGGGAAGAGTCTCGAGCTTTCCGTGCACGATATTCTGGTTGGCGATGTTATGCATCTGAGCACTGGCGATCTCGTCCCCGTTGACGGCATTTTCATCGATGGCCACGGAGTCAAGTGTGACGAATCCTCCGCCACGGGTGAGTCGGATCTGCTGAAAAAGACGGGCGCCGACGAAGTCTATGCCGCGCTCGTCAAGTACCGCGAGGGCAAGTGGGATTCCACTACCAAGATCGAGAAGATGGATCCCTTCATCATCTCTGGCAGCAAGGTCAACGAAGGCACCGGCACTTTCCTGGTCACCTCGGTTGGTGTCAACTCGAGTTACGGCCGCATCATGATGACCATGCAGACCGACCACGAGGCCACGCCGCTGCAGAGGAAGCTGAACGTCCTGGCCGACATGATTGCCTGGGCTGGAGGCATCTCGGCGGGTATCCTTTTCCTGGTGCTGTTTATCAAGTTCTGCGTGGGTCTCCCCAACAACCCGGCCACACCTGATGAGAAGGGACAGAACTTTCTGAGGCTCTTCATCACTGCCGTTACCGTTGTCGTCGTTGCTGTCCCCGAGGGCCTGCCGCTTGCCGTCACCCTGGCCTTGGCTTTCGCTACCACTCGCATGACCAAGGACAACAATCTCGTCCGTGTCCTGCGGGCCTGTGAGACCATGGGAAATGCCACGACGGTGTGCTCCGACAAGACTGGAACCCTGACCCAGAACAAGATGACCGTCGTTGCCGCCACTCTCGGCAAGTCCATCAGCTTTGGTGGTACGGATACGCCCCTGGAGACACCCGAGGAGAAGAAGGCTAGCAACTCGGCCGTCTCGACCGAAAGCCCCATCAAGAACGTGCCGGTGGAAAACTTTGCCCAAGGTCTGGGCTCGACGATCAAAGACGTCCTGATTCAATCCAATGCCGTCAACAGCACCGCCTTTGAGGGCGACCAGGACGGAGAGCATACCTTTATCGGATCCAAGACCGAAGTCGCTCTCTTGACTTTCACCCGTGACCATCTTGGCGCCCCTCCTGTTGCCGAGGTTCGCTCCAGCGCCGATGTCGTCCAGGTCGTGCCATTCGATTCGGCTCTCAAGTATATGGCCTCGGTTGTTAAGCTGGCGGACGGAAAGTACCGTGCCTATGTGAAGGGCGCCAGCGAGATCCTCCTGAAGAACTGCACCAAGGTCCTCGCCGACCCCGAGTCGGATGAGCTCCACGCCGTCGAGCTCACAGACGATATCCGCGAAACCCTCAACCAGACAATCACGTCGTACGCCGGCCAGACCCTGCGCACCATCGGCTCGTCTTACCGCGACTTTGACTCTTGGCCGCCGGCGGATGCAGTCAGCAAGGAGGACCCCAAGGCGGCCGACTTCCACAAGGTGGACTCGGACATGACGCTTGTGGGTATCTTTGGCATCAAGGATCCGCTGCGGCCCCAGGTCAAGGGCGCCATCCAGGACTGCCAGCGCGCGGGCGTCAAGATCCGTATGGTTACCGGTGACAACATCTTGACTGGCAGCGCTATCGCCAAGGAATGCGGCATCTATAAGCCTGAAAACGGCGGCTTGGCCATGGAGGGCCCCGAGTTCCGCCGCAAAAGCGAGGCAGAGCTCAAGGAGCTCGTGCCCAAGCTCGAGGTCCTGGCGCGATCCAGCCCCGAGGACAAACGCATCCTAGTTAGGACTCTGAAGGATCTAGGCGAGACGGTCGCCGTTACCGGAGACGGCACCAACGACGCGCCCGCGCTCAAGATGGCAGATATCGGATTCGCCATGGGTATTGCCGGTACTGAAGTTGCCAAGGAGGCCGCTGCCATTATTCTCATGGACGACAACTTTGCCAGTATCGTCAAGGGAATGATGTGGGGACGGGCTGTCAACGATGCGGTCAAGAAGTTCCTTCAGGTAAGGAGTCCACCACAAAGAGAATACTTACCACGTGCTTTCCAGTACTGACTCCCGCCTCTAGTTCCAACTCACGGTCAACGTCACTGCCGTGGTTCTTACGTTTATCTCGTCCGTGGCCAGCGCTACAGAGGAGTCTGTCCTGAACGCCGTTCAGCTCTTGTGGGTCAACCTGATCATGGATACGTTCGCCGCCCTCGCCCTCGCTACCGATCCGCCGTCTCGCACCGTTCTCGACCGCAAGCCCGACCGCAAATCGGCAGCCCTAATCACGATTGGAATGGCCAAAATGATTATCGGGCAGGCTATCTGCCAGCTCGCCATCACTCTAGTGCTCAACTTTGCAGGCGGTCACCTGCTCGGATACGACGGCATGGAGAATGGCGAAATAAGGCACAGAACGCTCGTGTTCAACACTTTTGTCTGGCTGCAGATCTTCAACGAGGTCAACAACAGGCGTCTGGATAACAAGCTGAATGTGCTGGAGGGCATCCACCGCAACTACTGGTTCTTGGGTATCAACACTATCATGATCGCGGGCCAGGTCCTGATCATTTTCGTTGGTGGTGAGGCGTTCAAGATCACGCCGCTCGATGGCAAGGAGTGGGGCATGTCTATCGGCCTGGGCGCCATCTCGCTGCCGGTCGGGGCGCTGATCCGCAAGTTCCCCGACTGGATCCTGCTCAGGCTGCTGCCCAAGTTTATCCAGCGGCGCTGGGTGCCCGAGACGCTGCCCGAGGAGGAGCAGGAGGCGCTCCGCAAGGACCTGGAGGCCAAGCGCGAGGCGGCGGCGGACAAGGACAAGGACAGGGGCGACGACGACGAGTCGGCCGAGGACGATGACTTCCGCAGGCCGCCGCTGCGCGTCATGACCAGCATCAGGGGAAACAGGGCGCGTTCGCATAGCATCTGGGGCAGCCACCGCGACCCCAAGCAGTACATGCGCGACAAGAAGGTGGACGCGCACAAGAAGAAGGAAGGGCTCAAGGCCAAGGTGACGCACGACCACCACGGGGAGGCGCGGTCGAGGTCGGAGGAGGAGCTTAGGCCTAGGTCCGCCACGGCCCCTGCCGGTCCGTCCTCTCCGGTGTAGTCGGAGGGGGAGTGGATGACGTGTGAAGTGTGATTTCGCGTTGTCTTTTGATTCGACTGTAGGATCGGGAAGGATGGTGCAAGGAATAACTCTCGCCCCCAAGATAGTGTTCTCTTCTCGTATTTTTCTTCTTTTACACTTTTAATCGCTAGGTTTTATTTGACGACTCTGACGAAGCCGCGGCTGTTCTTTTTCCTTCCAGGCAACAGGTAGAAACAAAACAAGATTTTAAGCTCGATACATGATGTGCCGATGCTAGCGCACGTTTCGTGGTCGCCGAACTCTTTCCCATGGAGGCAATCTGAACACCATTTTCAAGTGCCAAATCGAGCGTGGAGTCGCCCGTCTGAACTCTCGTTTTTATCATTGTCTGCCATAACGGGCATCCTTGCTGATGCTCTCCGGGGGCTCCGACGGACGATGGAAGCTTATAAATAGGGTGGACACCACCATCGACTAGTTTGGATTTTTGCCTCTCTATGCTGCGCCTCGATGGACTGCCGTCGCATGTGGGCTTTTTGGGAGAAAAGGAGGCGGCTTTTCCATTTTGCCTCCCCGTGGCGTTATCGCGTTACGACGTCGACATGTCCAGACGGTTGCATGCATAACAACTGCCGCCCCTCCCCGATGGCCCCACTGCGGCGCGTGTGGGCGGTCTGTTTCGGAGATCAATGGCGGCTGTATCAAGTGGCTATACCGAGTGGCCATACCGAATAGAAGTCGAGGAGGATGGATTTCCCTTTTCGTTGTTGTTCATGTGCGCTCATATTCGTGAGTGTGGAGTCTATCAGAGACATATATAACTTTGTTTACGCTTTTCCACCTTTCCACCAGGTTAAGACACAGGGAATAACATCCAATCTGGGTAACTATTGGCACAGAACCCGTTCCTCCGGTGCGATAGCCGTTTAATAAGGTCGGGTGAAAAGATGTAGTCAAGGTGACTTGGTGTTGGTTTGGTATGTATCTCATACATAGGTATACGTAGGGGATGGCGTGACACCCTCAGTCTCCAACAGAGAGGCAGAATATGGCGCATAGTACGGAGAGGCCGGTGACACGGTGAGCGAGCATCTTAAACGACGCCATCATGAGGATTCGTTGCCGGGCAGAGTGTGAGGAAAACAGGCAACAAGAACCGGATGGAGGAGATAGAAAGTCGCCCCTCGGAGCATTTCATGCGAGGGCGATCAGGGACCATCGCGGGCCCCTCTTTTTGGGCATGGTTGGAGGCAGCCGAGCGCCGGGACGGTGGGGTCTGGCACCACAGTTGTTGGCCCACGAGGAGGGTCTTGTTCGTGGGGCCGTTCTTTTGTTCTCCGTCGTTGGCTCATGACAGGTGTGCCTTGCGAGCAGCGAGATTCACATGGGCCGACATGGCAAAAAACACAAAACGAATGGACGGTTTATACGATGCTACGCCGAGCCCCGGCTCAGATCGGGCTTACCTGGAATGCGTCCCGTGGTTCTATTAATAGGGAGATGCAAATAATAAACACAGCAATCGACCATCGATGCAGGACACACACACACAGCCTGCATCGTCGATTCCTCGGAGATGGCCCATGGTGCGTCCTTGGAGCAAACGCCTGATGATCAGCCTCGGCAGGAGCGCACATCTAACGCCTACTAAGTCAGAAGGGGCCTAGGTGGTTGCCTGCTCCGTTTTTTGGGTGCAGATTGATCGACCAGCCCAGCCCAGCCCACACCGGCCCTGGAGAGGGAGGGACGGCCCTGCCGTCCAGCCCCTCCATCGGGACCCACTCCACCAGCGGTCCGTCCCCTCAGTTCCCAGGAACCGATGCAGGAACAACGCCAGGATTGCGAGACCCAAGCCGTTGCACAATCAACCCACCCCCCACTGCTGTCACCATAGCTGTCTATTCCCTCCTATCTTGGCTATCTGGAGGCTATCTGGAGGCTATCTGGAGGCTATCGCCGACGTGGAGCCCTGCTGTGGGTGCATCGGCACCCCAACACGCACAGCAGACTTGTGCTTATGCTCGGATGAGATGGAAATAAGAGGAACACCTATGGAAGCGAAACCAAGCACCCAAGGAGGCGGCCGAACGACTGAGAACTGCAGGCGACAGGAACATTCGACGCGATCCGATGCGATACGATGCGATGCGCCGGAGCCAAGAGCTGGCCATCCAATCGCAACACGCGCTAGCCCTCTCCACTTTCTGTATGTAATCGCTGACCCACCCAAAAAGGCGGAGATGGGAGGGACCAGCACGAGCTGGGCCGTCATGCAAAAGCCTGCACCGAATCTCCTCCCCTCCCCTGGAAGAGCCTCAGACGGCCGAAAGGGCCCGAGCCTGGCGTGCTCGGCGGCGGTGAGAGCTCAGTCCGACGGTCTTGGCGCAGATCACGAGGCTGGCTGGAGTGGGCTTGACCGCCGGCTGTTTGGCGGAGTGAACGATGACGGACGAAAATGTTCATGCATATGAGCTCAGCCTTCCAACCCCTCTCGAATCTGGAATCTGCAGCAATGTGGACACACACACACACATACACACACTTGCTAGCCGAAATAACACACGGCTAGTGGTGGTGTGGTGGTGGTATATGAGCGTCGCTGCAGGAGAGATAGGGGAGCTCACCGGGCTGACCAACCAGTTTCGCATTGCGTTGGCGGTCCGGGGTATGCTGGGCCGCTCAGAAAACAACCACACATCCACCACGAGATGCGAAGGTTCGGCTGGCCCTCCTGTCGTTGCATGGCCAGATCCCCGCCATCCCTGAGCAGCAAGCCCCTCCCCCAACTGGCCGTGTCTCAGATCCGACAGGCAAGCTCCCCATTGCTTTTTCCACCATCCACGCTTCCTCCTGACCAATGGCCGGAGCCCGATCTCGAACTAAGGCAGGCTGACCGTTTATGATGCAAGGTCTGTCCGCATCGTCGGTGCTGTTGCATCTGCCGCCATCATGCTTATTCTTGTTTCCACATCTTTTGTTTTTTTTTTGTTTTTTTGCACCTTCCCTTTCTTTTTCTCAGCGTCCCGGCGTTTTAATATACCCATCATCGTTGTTCTCTTATATCGCCCCCGGTTTGGGCTGATGGATCACAACCTCCGCCGAGCTGGACTTGGGGACCGGCCATCCTCCCCGACTGCTCTTCCGACCCGCCCACGGCCTATTGGCTGCTGAGACTGAGCAACCCAAGGTCGTGAGAAAGAGCCTGGAGCTTCGTGGTCTAGGGGCCAGAGACAGAGGAGGGGAGGGAAAATGCGCGGTTACAAGGAGGAACTGGCGCACAGCGGCGACCGACAGACCCTATCACCATCATCAGATCCAACTGCTCTTGACAGCCCGATCAAGGGCGATCTCGAGTTCCAGGGACAGAGGGAACATGGGGGTCGGACTCTGCCCACCATCACGTTGGTGGCGCTGGCCGGGCTGTTTCTGTCGTCCGCCACCGGCATCATCTTCTTCGCCCTGGGTGGCCTGCAGTCCATCATCGCGCGCAGCAATGAGCTGCCCAGCCGTGTCGTCGTCCTAGTAGCGTGCGCCATGGGTGCTCTGTACAGCCTCATCCACCTCTGGGCGGCCAGGACAGCCTACAGGAAGAAGGAACACGGCTCTCCCCAGATGTACGGCAACTACGTGCATGCTGCCGGCCTGCTGTTGATACGCCTAAGCTTCCCAATCTGGATCACGGCCATTGTCACAAGCGCGCTCGCCGCGGCGAGGATCGGCCTCGATGTCTCGGGGCCGTTCAGGGTCGAGTCTAGCCAGACCGTCTTCGTCAACTTGCTTGTTTCCACGACTGGCCTGTAAGTGGTGTCCCCTGCCTCCTGGTGTTGGGCTCGCGGCCTTAAACTGCGACTGACAGCGGCCCGTCGTTCCGGCAGTATTTCCAACTTTGGCATACTTTGCTGCGTCGAATGGTCCATGACGCCCTTTGCCACAGCGCTCATCTCAAAAAACGAATTCCTGGAATACAGGGGACGGAGTCCGAGCCCCGCCGTCCCGCCACCGCCCCACCCCTGGTCCCCCGTCGAGCCGCCCGTGGATCGCTATCGCTCGCTGAACCCCGGGGACCGGGCCACCGGCGCATGGCCCGCCCAGGGCCTCGCCGCATCCCAAGCAGCGCCTGCCTCGTTGGCGCTTCCTACCTTAACCGTTCCGCCAGGAACAGCCATCAGCGAGACGGTCGCCGTCGCCATTCCCCCGATCCCCGCCATCCGCGATCAGCGCTCGCCAGTCCACATGGCCTGGCGCCCGCCATCGCATCACGGGAAGCGCTCCGCGGACGAGAGGGCACGAAACCACACCCGCGCTGCATCAGCCGTTTCAACGGCCCAACCAAGCGACGCTCCGCTAGGCGAGCGCGAGCCGAAGTTGCCTGACGTGTTCGTCATGTCTCACCAAGACTGGAGGTCCATCATGACCTCCCACTCGACACCGGCCACGCCAACGGCGGGCCCGAGTACAGCCCGGGCGTCTCGGCCCTCGACCTCGGCGGCTAGTCGGCCATCCCTGCCAAGCCGGCCATCGGAGAGCCGTCGGCCCTCGACGTCAGCCGGCCCTCAACGTGCCCCGGCACTGGCGGCCCCGGCAGAGGTGTTTCCGGAAAGGAGTCGGCGCAAGTCGATGGCGAGCTCGCCGCCGCCGCCAGTCGGGTTTGGTTTCCGCGGCGGAGCCACGCAAAAATCCGCGTCGGCAGCAACACAGAGCGCGCCTAGCCCCAAGGCGCCTAGCCCGAGGGCTATGTCGCTTCGGTCGCACCCTCCGTTTGGTGCGCCGCTCATCCTGCCTGAGCTGCCCAATATGGCACCTCCCCCCGTCCCTCCCGTTCTCAGCCGGCCGGCGGGTGGCCTCCCGGCCGAGAGACCGCGGACGGCACCTGGAAACGCGTCTGCGTCGGCCGGCGGGTGGAGCGTGAAGAGGAAGCCGGTGAGCGACCAGGTAATGGCCGCCGACGAGACGGCGAGCCTGGATACCTACTCGACGGATGAGGACGACGGCAGCGACGAGGAAGAGGAAGATGACGACGCGCTCTACCCGGCCGAGGAGACGCGTAGCGTTATGTCGAGGACCGCGAGGAGAGTCCGCAGGGCCAGGGCTAAAGAGGAGGCGCTGAAGCGCGCGCAGTCGGTCAACAAGAACTTCTCGCGGCCGCTGCAACGGTCCAAGTCGATGGCCAGCATACGGCGGTAGGGGAAGAGATGGTCCTCGCAGAGTGCCCCGGGGCTCTCTAAATACGACAGCCGCGGACGGGGAACCAGCACTGGGTCCCGTTTGCGTTGAACTAATGGGGAGACTACGACTGTTGCTGCTGCTACACAGGGAGGATATACTACGATGAGCAAACATGAACAAACGCGACCAGCAGCAAGCGGGCGTACTACCTGCTTGCTTGCGGACTATGAACCTCGTCTGGCGTCGAGTCGGACTGGGTCCACGGCCGACACTACTAAAAGATGTAACAATTAATAGAGCTTCTAATATCCAACAGCAAAGGAACAACAAGACCATAATTGCTACTACCGGTATCTAATGGAATGCAAAATTGACATGATTCGGAGTGGGATACGGTTCGATGCGACTCTTGACGAAACCGGATTCTCAAGTCGCGGTGAGAAAGGGCGACGATGGGACGGCTGATGCTGCCGGATGTTCATCCGAGAAAAAAAAACCGACATGGAAACTATTGCACCCCTCGTCCCGAGCCTGCCTGCGCTTAGCCCAGCCCAGCTTTCGGCCAGGAGTCGGCAAGGGGACTTGAGCCGGGAAAGCCTGTCCACCGATATTATTTTTTGCTTCCCCTGGGCGGCTTCTCTCGAGCCCTCCCCCCTAACCCTCGTGTCAAGCGCTTGACATGATTGATTTATTTGCAGGCATGTGGGCTGCAGACTTTGCTTTTGTCCTCCTTATGGTTTTTTTGTCATCGTCTTTCTTTGTTTGTTTCAACGTTGGACGCACAGACTGGCCTGGGGGGAGGGGAGACTGGCCCTTGCCTCGACTCTATCCTGAAATGACTGGGGAAGGGGGTGAAAGTAGATGGCATGGGCGAGACTGGGCTCCGGCTGGGAGGGCCTATCCTTGCCTCAATGTTTCTTGCTTTCCTTACTTTATTTTGTTTCTATCCCCGGAGCGCTGCCGATGGAGTCGTCAGCCACGCAGTAGGCAATCGCCTCACATGTCTCTCTCAGACACAAGAGCGTGCGGCAAGCTCGCGGTACCTGGTGGCCTCCAACAGGGCGGTGCCGACGGCCTGCCCCTGTCTCGGCTCCTCGTGTTTTTCATGAGGCGCCCGAGGGTGGGTCGACCCTTTTGGGTATGCGGGAGCTAGGCGCATTTGCGGGTGGTCTGTCTTTGATGTGTTGTGAGGAGGGAAAGATATGTGATGGCTTTATTACAAGTTCCCAAGCCCCGCCCGCCCGTGCCTTGGACAGCAATTCCCAATCGGCCTCCTCTCTATAGAGATTCGAGCGAGAGAAGGGAAAGGCGAGATACTGATACAGAATCCAAGCATGTCTAGGATTATATACTGGTAATAAGGCTCCTGCAATCACTTGATCACAGTTGTTACCGAGACCCAGAAGATGGCTTGTCATTTTCCACGGCCTCGCACCTCTCCCGCGTAGCCCGGGTACGTACCTCTAGCCGTAGTATACCCCAAGACTTCATTGTAGGTACGGAAGTGTCGTTACCAAAAGTGCTACACGCGGTAGTAGCTGATTTACACGAATTTGCAACCAAATGCTTGGATGGTCAGACATGGGCAGATTGCTCCGCTTCTTGGACAGCCCTATGCTTGGCGACGCAGCTTGCTGCTACAAGGCGGGACATGCTGCAATACATTGCTTAAAATCCCACCCCGGGGAAATTCCACGAAAACTCGCCTCAGGCCGCGGCTTGACGCGATCCCCATTTCCGGAATGGCGGTGGGTTGGATGCTGCAGCAGATAAGTGCGAGCCCTAAGGCGGGGTTCGGGCGTCGGAAAGGCGCGAAAGAGGAGTAGCACGAGATAAGAAACCCTATAAACGGGTACCTATTTGATCGACATGCGCCCTCTTCAAGGGGCTCCCCCGGTCGCCCGCATCGGAGAGACGTCAACGCCCAGCATCGCTCCGTCCATCGGGCAGGCAGGAAAGGCATGTCGGCAGAATCGTCACGAGCCGCCGAGGCGCGCGTGCCGGCCGAAGACCAGATGGCGGCCAGGAGCGACACGGCCGTCGCCGACGACGACATGGCCCGGCTGGTGCTGCGCAAGATCGACCGGAACCTCATCCCCGTCCTCTTCGTCACGTACATGTTCAACTTCATGGACAAGACCACCCTGTCGAGCGCGGCCGTGTTTGGGCTGCGCGAGGACAACGGGCTGCGGGGGCAGGACTACAGCTGGGTCTCGGCCGTCTTCTACTTTGGCTACTTCGCCTGGGAGTACCCGACCACCCTCCTCATCGCCCGCCTGCCCGTGGCCCGCTACCTCACCGCCAACACCCTCTTCTGGGGCGCCGTCGTGGCCCTGACGGCCGCGTGCCGCAGCTACGGCGGCCTGCTCGCCGTGCGCTTCCTCCTGGGCGTCGCCGAGGCCACCATCACGCCGGCCTTCATGTTCATCACGTCCACCTGGTACACGCGCGACGAGATCCCGACCCGCACCGGCATCTGGTTCTCGGGCAACTCGGTCGGCGGCCTCGTCGCGTCCCTGCTGGCCTTTGGCATCGGCCACGTCCCGCGCGGCGACGGCGACGCCGTCGGCCCCTGGCGCGCCATGTACGTCGTGCTGGGCCTGGCCACCTTCCTCTGGGCGCTCGCCGTCTGGCGCTTCCTGCCCGACTCCATCGCGACCGCCCGCTTCCTCTCGACCCCGGCCGAGCGCCGGTTCGCGGCCGACCGCGTCGTGGTGGCCGGGACGGGCCGCACCGACGGCACGGCCTGGCGCTGGGCGCAGGCGCGCGAGTGCCTGGCCGACCCCAAGACCTGGTTCTTCTTCTGCCTCGGCGTCGCGTCGCGGATGCCCAACGGCGGCACCCAGAACTTTGCCAACCTCGTCGTGCGCTCCTTTGGCTTCACGGCGCTGCAGACCACGCTCGTCAACATCCCCTACTCGCTCCTGGCTGCCGCCTGGATCGCCGGCACGGGCTGGCTGGCCGGCCGCCACCGCACCGCCAACTGCCTGCTCATCGTCGCCGTCGTGCTGCCCTGCATCGCGGGGAGCTCCGTCATCTACGCCGCCATCCTGCGCCGCGAGACGCCGTCCGCGTTCTCCAAGGGCGTGCGGATGTTTGCCTACTTCCTCCTCGCCTCGGGCTCGGCCGCCATGCCGCTGGCCATGTCGCTCGTGCAGGCAAACTACCGCGGCGTGACCAAGAAGATGACCGTCTCGGCCCTGCTCTTCGTCGCCTACTGCGCCGGCAACATCGCCGGCCCCCATTTCTTCCGCGCCGACGAGGAGCGCTCCGGCTACGGCACCGCCTTCGCCGCCATCATGGCCTGCTACTCCCTGGTCGCTGGCCTCGCCCTCGGCCTGCGCGCGTACCTGCAGCTCGCGAACCGCAGGCGCGCGCGCGAGGAGGGGTTCGTGGGCAGCGCCGGCGCCGCCGGCGCGGTCGGCGGTGGCGCCGCCGGGTCGTCCAAGGTAGCTGGGGCCGGAGAAGACGGGACGCGCGACGGGGCCGGCAAGACCGTGGCTCAGATGGTGGGCGAGGTGGAGCTGATGGCCGAGGACTACGAAAACGTGACCGACTGGGAGATGGTAGGCTTTCGGTACCGCCTATAAGGCTTCGGGACAAACCAGCCACTTTTGAACATGTAATCTGGTGGCATGGCGAGAGGGCCTGGCTGTTCCATTTTTCGCTCCTTTATTATATGCTTCGTTGGGTCCGATGGTTAAATAGCTTTCACGAGCGGCCACAAACTCATAACGCTAATATAAATACTAGTACGCTTGTCTTCATGTTTCAGAGCATTCGGGGCATGCACTGATCGGATTTTGTCACACGACTACCTAATACATCACCCTGGGTGAGTCAGAGCTGCGACGTGACCAGCCTATCTTGATACCCGTCAGCTCCACCCTACTAAGCAGCATATCGAAGCCCCTCCCTTGAAGCCCTGCTTGAAGAGCCCTGTAGTACTCCAACGGCCATGTGTCTTGTCGGATGAGCTGCCCGATACCTTTCATTATTTGCCGCGTGGGAATGAGCTTTCCCTCCCTTAGAACCTTAGCAATCCTCAGTCTCATGTTCAGAGATTGAATGTCATTTCCATCTTCGATAATCAATATGGATCTGGTAGCGTACGACCATGAATCTCTTCTGGTTTTGTCCCAGAACCTTTCAGGAACAAACCAAAGCAACTTGCTCGGGGGCTTGGCAAGCTCGAGCTTGGCGCCGCTTTCAAGCTTTGCTTGAAGGTAAGGCCAGCAACGAAATTCGACAGCGAGTGATTCACGGCGTTTCGCCGGCGATTCCCCTAGCAGTGGCTCAATTGGCGAGGGGTCTGATCGATCGATAAGGCGAAGGAGTGCTCGCCTGCTCTCCCGCGAATCATGACAAGTCCGGGCGAAATAGAACAAGCACCGGAATCGCGGAGGGACCGGACTGCCCGCGTCGTCCAATTCACCGATAGGTCTCCATTGCGAATCGGGCGGGCGAGCGAGGAAGGAGATGATGACTAGAGACGGATCATAGTCCGGCGGCCCATCCTTGACAACGGCGGACCACACGTGCATGCTTCGCAGCCAGTCGAACGCTGTTCGGTGGATAAACTCCACGTAATTGTTGTGTTGATCGCGTCTGACGGGTATTGGCATTCGACGCTTGACGATTTGTAACATCCCGCCGGTGCAGCCCGCCACTTTTCTTTCAAGCACCGGGATTATCCTGACCATTTCGTCAGCCTCAGGGACCTCTGGTGACTCGGCAGGGTTGCAGGTGATCGCAATCCAGAAGGCATCAGCGCTGAAGGGGTCATCGACGGTGTCCTTCCATCGGAAAACGAGTTGGTACATTCGAGATGCTGTCTCCAGCAGGGATTTGCTCGATCGTCTACGCATCGACGCATAGAGCTCTTCCAAGTCTGGAGGGAGTGCCTCAAACAACTCCCAGATCTTGTCCATTTCGGGGTTGTCCCGAGCGGCGACCAAAATCTGTTCCACCACCAACACTACCCAGAGAAAAACTCCGTCCGCTTTCTCGACGAGCTGGGACTCAAGGTCCACAACGCTTTTGTTGCGAACCTTTACTTGGCGAAGTTCCTGAAGCCCATCGCTGCCCGCCATTTGCTCGTGGACATATTTTTCGATGTCAGGCCTCGTGTGCTGTTCCATTCGGAGAGATGGGTAGGTTTTGAAAGCGTCTTTGAATGTGTTCCACGGACGGCTCGAGACGCAAAGCTTGACCCTGTGATCACGGTGCAACTTCTTGGTAAAACCAACGAGCTCCATCAAATCGCCATCGCACTCATCCAGTCCGTCGATGAACATGGCAAGGCGAGCTGTGTCATGGATCTGAGAGCCTAGGTTCTCGAAGGCTTTTCGAAGCTCCTTGATTGTCCAATCTGGACTGGGAGCGTTGGTTCCGGCGAGCCTGAAGTACATGTAGCGCTCCGGGGTGACCAACGAGCACAAGTCGGGTCGCTGGCCGAGAAGCTGATGAAGCATGGTGCGTAAAAGACCGGCTTGGGACTTTTGCTCTGAGGACCCCGGGTTCCAGAAGTAGGCGCTGCACGTGAGAAGCTCAAGATCGCCAGCCCACTGCCTCAGGGAGGCTTCGACTTTTGGGTTTGTACATATATATTTCATGATCGTGGACTTCCCGGAAGCTGGCTTTCCTGTTATCCAGAAAGGACTCTCGTTGTCGGGAGACTCGAGCCAGGCTTTGAAGCCGTGCCCTTGAGAGTGACGCGTGTCTTTCTGCGCCGAGGAAGACAAAAGAGTGCTGCCGATGGAAGAGGATGGTGTTCCATTCACCAGGTCGGCATCGTTCATAAGCCATTTGAGCGTGGTAGGCAAAGGCTCTTTGACCTGATTCTCACGCGCCATCATATCAGGAAACGCAAGAGCGTTCAGAATCGTGTGGCAAATAGCGTCGCTGCTGTTGGTTAGGACAGAGTCGCTGGCGTAGGCCCCGGCAGCCTGGACCGATTCGAGATCGCCTGGCCCTGGGGTGGTTTTGATCGCTGTCCACAATCCGATCGCGATCTTGTTTGCGTCTGATGGGGCTTGTAACGGCTTGTCACTAGACATCTCGCCGAGATCGGGTCTCGGGTATTTGATGGGACGCTCAGGGCTGAGCCTGTCGATGAGTTTCCCCGGATCGTTGTGGGTTTCCATGGTAGTGCCCCTTCGTGCGGCCGGACAATGGTCTTAGCATACTGTCAAGATATTTGGGCAGCAGGGTCACAAAAAAAAGAGAAAACATACAAGATACACACGATCATGCTGGTATTCAACTGGTCTCGGATGTTTCTCAGCCGTCCCTGGAGGGTATCGATTTCGGCATGCTTCCACCAAGCGCGTAGAGCGCCAAGCGCAGCTTTCCCCTGGCCTGGCTTGAAGCTGCTGACAAGTTTCTGCAGATCCTCCTCGGCCACGTTGCATTCCGACGTGAGGCGATCGAAGGATTCTGCTTGGTGAGGGTAGAGGGCTCGCAGTTGTGCGATCCTGCCCCTGGCCGAGCTGGCGTTCCTGGACAACTCTGGGCCCTGAGTTGAGAGATCCGATAGCTCTGAGGGGAGGCCATCGCGAGCCTGGCTGACTTCTCGGTAAAGAGAGACTAATTTTGATCCGAAGTCGACGAAGGCGATGACGGCGGTAGCGATCGAGAGCGCATCCATCTTGACGGCTTGGCGGCAGCGTCGGCTGGTGGAGATGGCGAGAGAGGGTAAGCTGGTCGGCGACACTGCTGCGTGAAGCGATGAGAGGAAGAGAATGGGATCTAATGCCAGGATGATACGGCCACCCAAAAATGTGGCGGGGCCTTACCATACAGCTGAAGAAGGCGACCATGATGGAATGATGGGCCGCATTCTATGTGCAGCTGGCAGCGGCAACGCAGTGGCCGTGCCAGCCACACCAGGTGGTGATTTGACCAAAGCCTGACCTCAGGAGGCACTCTCGTTGGCAGGAAGAGAGAGCGAAGGCCAAAAAGGGCGTAGGTTAATGAGCTGGGCGGACACAGGCAGGCATCCTGCATCGCGTCGCGAACGGGTTATTGGTTAGACGCATGGCGGCCCAGCGCGCCCAAGAGAAATTCGACGAGTTTCCCCTTTGAAATTTGCATTCTTGCTGTCCGAGAGGCCTAGGAGACCTCGTTCATGATGCTCCCAGGACAGAGATGACTTTCTCTTTGCCGGACGGATACCTTGACAGGACAGTGGATGGCAGAGTCATCCCCAGGCCAAACTGCATCTCGCCATTGGGTGGAGGTTTGACTGCGCTTGGCCAATGCCACCTGCTCCAACAGGGCGACTACTTCAACACTCAAGTCCATCTGCGAGGCACACAACCGCCCTTCAAGCATTTCCTGGGGTGTCTCAGATCGGCGAGCCCAGCCACCGCGGCAGGGCTGTGGCCGCAGCGACGCTGCACGCGAGACATCCTCGCCAGATGATGTGGATGGTGTCAACAAGATCCGCCTTCTCGGCTGCCAGCCACGATGGGCTTGTCTGTGTGTGTTCCAACTTGGGCGGAGGAGGGTCACAGCTCGCCCGAGGGCCTCGGGTCGGCCACTGCATGTGCTGCGACCCTGGCATCATTACGGTTGATGTCACGACATTGAACTTTGATGCTGTGGCGAGGTTGAGGGAAGCACACCACACGTAACAAATTGGCGGGCATAAGGGATCGGAGTGCCCGTGCCCATTCACAGCCCCACGGTTCAATGCCAGCCCTCTTTTTGTAGCTCGCGACCAGCATCATCCTCCCCGATCCGGGAACATGCCTACCCACCCAGGCACCGAGAATTTAGGTTTGCGAACAGACGAAACTGGCACCCGGGACGGGATTATGATGCCACAGGCAGTCCGCCCAGAAAATGAGCGGCCACGACGGCCCGCACGGCACGGCATGGCGAGCTGTCAAAAATGCACGGGCCGAGGGGAACAGGACATGACTAGAGGTTTGGCGCCTCCCGGCAGAGCGGCACATTTCACCGCAGCCCATGGACCGACAGGGCTCTGCCTTGTAAGTTGAGCCGCTGGAGACATACCCCTGCTCCAGAGACATGTCAGTCGCCGGCTGTATATAGCACCAACTTCGTCCTGACCATCCTCGACTTGCCTATCTCCCTTCACCTCATCACGCCCTATCGCGATATCCATTTTTCCATATTGTTCCTTTCCTTGAATTATTTCCTACTGTATCTCCTTTTGTCCTCCTGCTTGACAACTACACCTCCACTCCCTCCATCCCACCGCCGCCCACACTACTCTCCTCAAGATGCACTACTCCGAGATCGCGAGCATCATGGCTCTGGCCGCCCTCGCCGCCCCGGCCGCCGCCCTCCCCACCGGGCGCGGCGCGGCGCTCGAGGCCCGCTACATTGGCCCCCACACCGCCGTTGGCCCTTACATTAGCCGCAACATCAAAAAGACACACAACCGGGTCAAGGCGCACAACAACACGGTCAAGAACAACCAGATCAAGGATCCCGAGATGGCCAGCACCTCCGGGAAGCCGGCCCAGAAGCCGGCTGCCGAACCCAAGCCTGCGACGCCCCCCAAGAAGGACTCCAAGCGCGATGTGCAGCCCGAGGAGGCCGAGGAGGAGGCCGAGGAAGCGGGTGTCGAGGAGGAGGCCGCCGGCGAGACCTACTAGGGGATCCCCGATGCAATCTTTGCTGTGCTTCGGCCCTCACTAGCTGGGGTTCCCGCGGCAGTCGGGGAGACGACGAGAAGAGAATGGAAAGCTGTCGACACTCTTTGTCCGGCGCACGCAGCCAGAAGCGCGAAGGGCCGTGGATTTGGAGCGGGAGTGTATTATGTTGTAAAGCTAGAAAAGAACTGTGGGTTGTTGTGTCTTCGATATACCCTACAAAGAAAATCACACGAGGCGCCAGTCCTCATCTCCCTGTGGTTTTGATCCTGGCGGACGGCGGCAGTGTGCTGCTATGCTCCTCCCACCAAACAAGAAATCTCGTGATTGTCACGGGGCGGGCTCCAGAGTCCTTGCGAGTTCAAGACCCGCCCCTCGGAGACGCCGCCTGGCGCAACACGGCTGCGAAGGCAACCGGATCCAGCCACGTGCCGCCGCCTTCTAGAAATTCGCCGAGGGGGACGCCGAACCGCTCCTTGAACCGGTCCGTCGCCGTGTGGCCGCTCCAGTCCCTCCGCTCCAGGTCGCCGCCGCCGCTGTCGACGGCGACCCTGGCCACGCCCCTGACCACGTCCGGGACCCATACCGGGAGCGCCCGCTCCGGGTCGGCCAGCAGGTGCAGCAGCGTCCGGTCCCGGTAGTCGACGGCGCCAAAGTCGGCGCCCGCGGACGCGAAGACGCGCGCGCAGCCCACCAGCCCGGCGTGGTGGTGGTGGGTGGGGCAGGCGAGCGCGAGCAGGGGCGTCTCGGCCTTGTCGTTGCGCGCCTCGAGGCCGGCGCCGCGGTCGATGAGCAGCTGGACAATCTCCGGGGAACCGTGGCGAGCAGCCGCGTGTACTGGCATTGTGTCCAAAAAGAAGGATGTCAGCTTTGGTTAGTTCCAGTAGCGGGGAAGTGGCGAGAAAAATATGGCACGCGCCCTCCCTCCTTCCCACCAGTCCTACACCTCCTTTCCCCTTTCCCATATCCAGAATACCTTTCCTTAGACATCGATTGGAATTAAGAGACTTGCCACCTACGAGCGCTCCCATTCCAGCTGGTGTTGACGTCAGCGCCCTTATCCAGCAGCATCCGGATGACCTCGACGTCCGGGCAGGCGTGCGCAAGGGCCGCGAGCAGCGGCGAGCGTCCCCCGTACCTCCCGGGAGTGTGGCCGGCGACGTTGTCGCCGCCGCCCTCGAGCAGCATCCGGACCATGCCCGGGTCCGGCGCCTCGTCGTTCCTGCTCATGGCCGCGAAGAGGGGCGTCATCGCCCCGTGGGGCGCCGAGGGCTGGTTCACGTCGGCGCCGCGGTCGAGCCAGAACCGGGCCATGGCGCGGTCGCCGGTCCCGACCGCGGCGCAGAAAGCCTTAGAGACGAGGCCGGGCGCCGGCGGCGCGGGAAGGTTGTCGAGGATGCGGCGGATCAGGCTCAGGGTGGCGGCGCCGTCGTCGTCGGAGCGGCCCGGCAGCCCGAGCCTCAGCCTCGACAGGCCGTCGAGGTTCGCGTCCCTGAAGCCGACCTCGTCGACCAGGCACCTTAGCATCTCCTCGTCGACCCAGCGGTGGGCGAGGATGTCGTCGGGCACCGAGACGCCCCGGCTGACGCCCCACCGGAGTACCTCTGTGCTTCCCCTGTTGACGGCGGAACGCGCCTGTGGTCTCAGGCGGGGCCTGCCTGTCAGTTTGATAGGCCTTCCCGGGGAGGCGGCAAAGGGGGAAAGAGGCGACACTGGGGGACGTACAAACGTCTCCTTGACTGGGCCCGGAAGCGGCTTTTCCAAATCCAGCCCGTGCCGCTCAAACAACCCCAAGAGCTCGAGGATGAGCGGCACGGCGTTGTCTCCGATCCCGTTCATGGGGGAAAGGAGCAGCTCGCACGTGTTTCTCCGCCACTCTTCACCATCAGAGCTGTAGAATGCACGCCAGGTTCACATCGGCACCCGCCTCAAGCAGGACCCGGACCAGCTCGACGCTGATGGGCCGGGCGCCCAGCAGGCTCGCGTGCAGCGGCGTCTGCAGCCCGCATTGGTTCTCCCCGCGACCGGGCTCGTCCTTGTCGGACTCGGTGTCGTCGAGCTCGTCCTCGCCAGGCTCGTCCTCGTCGGACTCGGTGTCGTCGTGGTAGAAGCCGCCGGCGTCGGCGTTGACGTCGGTGCCGCGGTCCAGCAAAAGGCGCGCCGCATCAAGGTGGCGCAACCGGGCGGCGGCGTGGAGCGCGGTCCCGTCCCAGCATTTTCAGGAGCCGTCCGCGTCGATGTCGTCCCAATCTACTTCCGTGCGATGGATCCAGTTAATGTCGATGGACGTGCTCCGCCTCAGAACCTCTTCGAGCTTCTCTACATCGCCACCGAGCGCGGCCTCGAACACCTCGCGGGCCCCCTGGTGGTCTGGGTCGACGAAACGCGTCTTGATGGCGCGGCGGCGAGCCTGGCCCGTCATTCCGCCAGATTTCCTGTCCGCCAGGTCCGACAAGATCGGGCCGCGTAAAACGCACGTTTACCTTGACATATCACCGAGGGAGGGGCAAAGTGGATCTATCTACCCTGTTGGTCTGTTGGTCACAAGCACCACTGTTCACCGCCATAACCTGCTTCAGACATTACTCACTAGGTAGATAATAGCTTGACGTGCTGAAAGAGCAAGAACCCTCATCACCTCGTATTGCGGCCTTGTCCATGTCTCCTATTGCAGAAACACACTGATGTAAAGTCGTGAGCATGTTGTATTACGCATATATAACCCACGTCGCGCCGCAAAACTAAAGCAGGAGAGCTTTCCGTTCCCAAACCATGGAGCCGCATGCCGAGCCGTAAGAGTATTATGAATGAGAGAAAATCGAGCCAAGGAGTCGTGTCATCCGGCTCGTTAGAAGACCGTGCCGTCGCTATCAATGAGAATAGGCGGCTCCTTGGTATTTGGCCTGCTGACCTCGGCGATTTCACGTCCGCCCTAGAAAGCAGCGGGAAAAAAACACATGTCAGTCGTGCGGCACACAAGATAAATGGCATCGCAAGAGGGGAAAATCAGCGGCTCTTACCTTCCAGCTACCAGCCTCTAGCAGCTGCGCCAGTGTCAGCTCGTTGCCGGCAAGCTCCTTCTTCAGCGCGACATTGACGTCGGCACAGAGCCGGTCCAGGAACCCGACGGTGACGCCACGCCATTCAACGATGACATCATCGCTGGGCTCGAACATTGGCGCGACCTCAACCCCCTTGGACCCTGTCCTGCGACAGTAGTCGGTATAGTGCTGCAGTCCCCTCTCGTGATCCTCGCGCTTGAGAGTCAAGACTCCGAGGTCGATAAAGAGCCCGCCGTTGCGGTACTCGGGCAGGCCCGTCAGCAGCTCGGTGCCGACAAAGTGCATGCTGAGCAGCGATTGCATGGGCTGCATGAGCGAGTACGTGAGCCACTGCGTCAGCTTGTGAAAAGGCAGGATGCTCTCCCACGGCTCTACGTGACTGTGCGACTTGGAGGAGCCGCCTGAGCCGCGGCCGACGGGGAAGGGACTGAAGGTCGGGTTCGTGGGAGACTCGCCCACGGCCCGCGCCGGGGCCTGTGGCATAGCGGAACAGGGCCACGCGTCACCGAGAGAGGTGCCGTTGATTGCAGTGCGGCTCGCCGGCCAGATGGGCCCGAGCCCGGACATGAGAACATTCCAGAGCACGGGGAGGAGCACGATGGGCATGCTAGACGCCTGTGTGCTCGGGTGCGTGAGTAGGTAGTCCACCATGTTGCCCGGTCGGCCGTCCTCGCCAAAGAACTCGCGCGACTCTGACAAAGCCTTGCCCAACCGCACCAGCAGCTCCGTCCGGCCCTCGAGGCCGGCCAGCTCGTTGCCAGGGCCCGACTGCAGGCCCTTGGCCACCTTGTCGACTGTCAGGGCGGCGAGACCACCCTTGTCGACTTGGTACTTGTTGTCCTTGGCACTCGAGAAAATGCCCTGGAAGATCGGGGTCTCGGTTTTAGTCATGGATTCCAGATTTCAGTACCTAATAGCCCGAGGGCAGAAAAACAGCTCGGGCAACACAGAAAACCTACCGTCTTGAACATTTCCAAGCTGGCAACAGCCAGACCCTCAGATCTCCTGTACACGCGGCCGTTCTCTGCGCTCTTGTAGCTCCAGTGAAGACCGGCACCAGCGTCGAGCAGGACGCTGACCAGGAACAGGTCGATCATGCGCCTGCACTTCTCCATATTGTCGACATCTTCGGGGAAGGTCGAGAGGAGGTGGGAGATGCGGTCGCGGCCGCCGACGCAGAAGTGTTGGTGGCGGCCGTGGCCGGGGATGGTGTTGAAAGGTGCCTCATAGTCACGCTGTGGCGTCGCCCCGAGGGATCAGATCAGTTTCCATGCCAAGAAGGAGCACAAAAGCGGGGGTTTCAACACACCTTGATGATCTGGGAGACAAAGCTGACGACGTCTGGGAACTTGCCCATGTCCACGGTGAAGTGGTTCAGGTCATTGCGGATGGCCTTGTCGTAGATGACCTTTGAGCGCTCTCTGACGGCGCCCAAGCTGCGCAGGTAGCCGGCGGGGTCGAGGGATGGGTCAGGCGGCTTGGGAAGGTCGATCTTGGGCAGATGCAGCGGTGTGACGGGCGTTCCGGGGCCCGAGTTGGGCGTCATGTTGGTGCCTCCCGAGGTGCGGTTTAGGGTGCGGTTGTAGAGCCCGGACGGGATCGAGGACGGGGACTTGATGCTCTTTGAAGAACCCGAGCCCACGCTGGTGGTTGATTTGGAGTCGAGCACACGAGGTGGTGGTGCGTCCGACTCGGCGGCCTTGGGCCTCTTGTCCTTGCGCGAGAACAGACCCATTTCTTTTGCCGGTGGCGGGTGGCCTAGAACCGGGCCTGGGGGGTACCTAGAGTCCTGCTAAGTGCTGGCGTGCTGGCTAGCTCTGCAGCGGCCCCGAGCGCCTATCGACCCATTCCACGCGTGTCAGCAGCTGCCCGCGGGGCCAGGGTGGTGCATGAATCCATCTTTGGGGACGGTTCCATTGGGCCATGGTGTCTGCACCAACCGCCGGTGCTCCAGCCAGACTTGTCTGCAGTCCAGTGAAGGCTTACACCGGCCCAATGTGTGTTGGGGCGCTGGCTGGGGTCGCTGCGGGTGCTGCGGGTGCTGCGAATGCGGGGATTCGGGAAGCAGAGGCCAGACACAACTCACAGGTTCGGTGTTGAGTCGATTGGCTCCAACCAGCAAGCTAGGGGGAGCTTTGGAGCTTTCGGGAGGGGCTGGGCTGGCTCAAGGGAACAACCCCCTGAAATGCGGGCAGGGCAGGGCGCGCACTGGACGGCGGGAAGGTCAGATGACCCCACGATCAATGGCCAATCCAATGACTCGCGTATCTCTCACTCGGGGAACTGGAACTATGTTCTCAGGGCTGGTGGTACTGAGAGCGGAGTTTCCGAAGGCCAGAGAGACTCGAGATGATTTCCAGGAAAGCGTCGTCGGGATCCTTCGCCCTTTTTCTTTCCCTTCCTCCCTCCTTCGGCCAAGTCGCTCGTGCCCTGTTTGCTGGGCCGAGGCGGCTCCGTGACCCTCTTTCAATCAATTCTCGTTTGCCGTCTCGTGCTAGTTTCGTTTCGGGTCGCGGGCCCGCAGAGAGCCAGAGAGAGAGCAAACAGAGCGAATCGCAAGGCGAGGCGGCGGCCTGGGTGCTTGCCGCTGTTGTCGCCAGAGGCTCCGCCAAGCTTCGCCGACGGGGATGATGCTCCCCGACCCTAGGCTGAGATGAGGGGTTCCAGCCGGTCGGGATGGATGATCCTGGCCGTGCTCCCGTTGTCGATCGAGGCCGAGGTGGTGTGTCCAAGCTCAATTTGCGCTGTCGTCTTTGCGCCAGATCTGGCCCTGCGGTCTCCTTTTTCAACTTGTTGTTTCCGACTACTCGCCTCGGCTGTTCTACCCCGCTAGACTCGAGATTGTGCTCGACGGCCAGCTACTTCGGGCACCAGCCTGGGCGCGTGCGCTCGGGCTTTAGTTGACCGATGTTCGGAAGCTTAAGCTGTAAGGCGCCAGTCAGTTTCTGGCCTTCTTCGGCGACGGATGGATGCAAACAAAGGATCGGCAAGCCCTGACCGAATATCAGGGTCCAACGGGGTGAGCAATCAGAAAATAAAGAGTAGCTGTGGTGAAAAAAGACCCCGAGGAAAACAAATAGTAGCGATAGCTTGGGGAAGAGGCCAGAACGGCATGCGATAAATGCGAAACAAGCTTTGGCCTGGGAGCATGTCACCATAGCACACTTACACGGACTAGACCAGTCTCCTAGCAGCCCGCGATCACGGATTATGTGAGTCAACGGTGGTGGTGTTAGTTTGGCGCGGCTGTGTGTGTCGGATCACGCCAGTCTGCAGCCCCAGGTTTGCTTTTTTTCTTCTTTTTCTTTCTCTCTTCTTCCGATCTCAACCTGCATTAAAAATAGCCAGCCCGCGCGGAACACACAGCTGGTAGAGATCAAGGGGAAGACTGTGCCCGTTCCCGCCAGCCCACGGCTATACAGGACCCCGATGCGGTGCGAGGGAGGACGGCTCGGCGCGTGCTGTGCTGTGCTGTGCGTGCGTGCCCGCAGAGGTTGGCTACCCTAGTGTGCAACGAGGCCACGTTGGTCTGTAAGCAAGCGCGTTAGCCTTCTCCTCCTCGGATAATCCTCATCTCATTGCCTCGATTGCTTTTTTTTTTCTCTCGGGCTTCTGAACCCTTCTCGTATGACTTCCTCTCTTTCTTTTCTTTTCCCCTCTAATAGTCTCTCCTTCCCCTCCTGACAAAGTGTGGGGCCAGCGGTTGGGACATTGTGGTCCTGCTGAAAGACCAGCCTGGGCCCTTGCGGCTTGGAAGCAATAGTCATCATACCTGGTTGAGATCTTTGCCGTGGACGGGGGGGCCTCTCGAAAGACCTTTTCGGGTCGTTCGGGGAATATTGGCACCTGCAGCAGAAATCGAGGCAAGGGCAGGGAGAAGGTTCAAAGGGGGGTCAGCACTAGGACGGCGTCTAGTCTCACGGGCCGCCTTGGATTATATGTAGACGGGGAGGCATCAACGACCGGCCTCCTAGCCCCCGCATCGGGGCCTCCTGGGGCTGGCTGCCTGGCTACCTGGCACCCTTGGGTGCATTTCGCACGAGCGGCCGCGGGTGTGGTGGCCGCATGGGCCTGCCGCGACACGCCCCCCCTCATCCTTCTTCCACCCAGTTCCCACGGCGGACATGGCACCAAAAGAGTGCGGCGCAAACGGCAAAAAAAAAAACGGGACCCCGGCGTGTTGGCTACTAGTAAGTTCATGTCAGCCCGGCTAGGCTTTTCGTTATTTCCAGCTTCCTTAATGACACCATGCCTTGGTTACATGCTGCTGGGAAGCCCAAAACACGACAGGAAAATGGAGCTGCCTCAACGGGCACAGTTTTCCCGCGCCGTCCCCCCTGCTGTTGGGTCAGCCTCGAGAAGAGAGTCTCCTGCTTTCGGCTTTCGCTCTGTGTTTGGATGTTGTCTAGCGCCATGGTCCGAGAAGAGGGCCATGAATCGATCCCTCTCCTCCTGTCCAGTCAACTTCCACCCGTCTGTTGCTCGGGACGACTCCCGCAGATGGAGTTGCGCCGTTTCCAACCATTGGACGTGTGCCCGTCCGTCAGCTTGCAGATGGGATGCGGACTGCAGGCGCTGCAGATGGTGTCTTGGCAGGGGATCCCTGCCCCCAGAGAGCGCCCGCCCCCATGCAAGGTACGAAGTCATGTTGCCCGTTTTATTTATTTTCTGCCTGCAACCTGGCCACACACACCATCTATCAACCAGCGTCCAGCGTGGGACCGCACGCGAGAGATTCACTGCCGAAAAGCACGCTCCACCACCGTCCTAGACCCAGCACGGCGTTCCCTCCCCAAAGAGAATATGCCCGCCTGTTCTCGTCGGTCCGGTTGCTGCTGTGTCTCCCCCGGCTGCTGGCCATCCGTCGCATCTTGTCGCCCCAGACTCTGCGGCTGTTACGTGTCGCTCTGCCTGTCATACCCAAGTTGCAGCACCCGGCGGTTGGCCGAAGTCGTTGGCCTGTCCGGGCCGACCAATGGAAGGGGGCGGCCCAGGGGTGCGGATTCGACAGAGTCGTACGTTGATATTCCGCTGATCCTCCCCTCCTCCCGTTTCTGCTCCCAAACTTAGGAGCAAGGCTAAGAAGCGAGGCCTCGGTGCAGTGGACGGAAAGGGGAGGTGAGAAACCCAGAAAGTCAGTAGTGTGGCGACCCTGACCTTGCCCTGCCTAGAGGAGCGTCCCCCAAGGCAACCCTGCCGACCTCCCCTGGCTCCACAGGGCCTTGGTTCCGAAGAAGGCAAATCTGGCGATCTCGATCCTGAACTGTTTACATTTGCTGCTGAGAGAGTCTGGTTATTTCGCCGTCCCCACCTCGGAAGGCCCTCGGTGTGGGCTAGCGAAAAAAAGTCGACGATGTGTGAGATTTGCGGGCTAATTCGTGCCTATTTTTTCTTTCTTCTTTTGTTCCTTGTCGCGGACCTCTAGGCCAAGCCTCGGACATGTTTCCAATCGAGGAAAAAGTCGCCGCACCCGAGATGCTTCTCTTCTGCAAGCCCAGGTTGCCGGCCCCGGACCAGCGCACGCGCGGACGGCGGCCTCATTGCGTTTTCCGGAAGCAGCCGTCTCACGTCACTCTTGGAAGATCCTGCGCTGGTCAGGTCGGCTGGGTCGGATGCGTTTTGGACCGCGACAAGGGGGATGGATGATGGATTACACCTAGGATTCTGCATCACTTGGAGGTGCCGTCGTCGACTGATGCACAAGCGCATCGCAGTTGACTCGAGCCTGCGCTAGGCGAAGCCGTAGGTGTGTCACTAAAAAGATGGAGATGGACCAAATTACTAAATCAGCCCCTGGAGACAGGAGAGCCACGCCTTTGCTATGCCGCTGGGAAGCACAACCCTACTCGTTAGGCCCAAACCAGAGACAGGCCACGGTATGGACATGACAAGACAGCCAGCCAACCGGCCAGTTGGGCAAATAGGCTGGGAAGAGCTGGGACAAACTGTCGAGCGCGTGCCGCGAGTCGTGCAAGAATCCCAAGGGTCTGGCGCCCAAGCAAGGACCCTGTGAGAATCATTGGACCCCGGACAAAGCACCTTCCCACATGCGGGTCTAGCGCCCGAGGGGGAGGCTTCCAAGGCGTGTTTTCAGCGCTCGAATTTTGATAGCCGTCCTCCGCGGAGGCCTGCGAGCCCCTGGACGCGGTTTTTTTTCTCTTGTTTCTTTATTGGAACAGATCGATGCCGCACGAGTCGCCGTTGCCTCTTGGAAAATGGAAGCCGTCCCGGGACAGAACAGACAGTCCGTACGTAAAGAGAACCACAGAGCCTCTTCTCTACAATTTCCCACCCGGGGCATATGGAGACGGGGACGGCTATTGCGGGCAAATTACTCCATCCCAAGGGCTGGCGTGGGCCACGCGGGAAAGAACGAGGCTGAGCCGGACGGGGCTCTCACTCGCAAGGCATCTAGGAAAAGCACAAGCCTACCGGGAAGCACAAGCCTACCGGGAAGCACAAGCCACCTGTCACATGCACGGGCAGAGCACGGGCACAAGGCAGGCGGAACAAGTCGCAAGAAACCCTGGGTGGCCATAGCTCCCTCCCTCGGTGTGGAGCACGCCGCCTGTCGCACTGACGAGCGGCCGGGCGGCTGGGCCACAGCGGAAAGAGGGTGGAGTAAAGGCCCGTGCAATGTCGGTAAAATTCAAAGGAGGAGCCGACATTGCTTGGAATCACACCTCACTGAGGGCAACAGCCAGCACAAACGTGCCGCTCGCCGTGGTCTGGTGGGAACCTCCTTACGTGTACGTGTGCACGGCCCGAACGTAGCCGACAGCCCAGAGGATCCTGTTTGTTCGTGGATGTCACAGGGGGGAGTTAGGCTGCCAGCTCATCAATTTTATGCTCGGACCGGCTTTCAGACCCGGCGGCCGCCTTCTTCCTGGCCGATGTTGTGGGTTGGTTGGTTTGACCGTGGAAACGACGGTAGGAGACGTGCCGGGCAGAGGCTACAAACGGCCCACCACGGGGAGCCACGCCCATGGCTTCCGGGCCAGTGCGGTGAGAGGAGTGTGGAGAGCCTTTCCCACCAGCTCTCGCGCCCACCTCGCGTGATCGTTTGCCTTGTCTGCATTTCAATAAAGTAAAAAGGGTGGGATAGGAACCTGGAAGGGTTAACAAAACAGGGCTTGCACTCTGAACCTAGTCACCTCGCGGTGAGGCACCTCATCATTGCCTTGGAATCGCGTGAAACGTTGGTGTGTTTTCGAGCACATGTGATTTCTGAGACATGCAACCCGCTGATCCACGGTAACCGCAGATTGGCCTTAAAAACAAGATGGGACAAGTGGTACACCAGGTCCCATGTCTTCCCTTGCATGCATCTTCGTCCCACCGTGCGCGGCTCAGCTGTGTTCCCCGCGAGAGGGTGCGCCGTCTGCGCTTAAATCGCATGGTCGGACGACATGGAGTGGATCAGCAACGGCCCCAAAGTCAGGCAGGCCGCTGAGTAGAACTTATCAGCCGAATGCGGGTTGACCAACCATATTACCCGTGGTTGTAATTCTTGACACCATGGATGATATAGCGAAAAAAAAAAGAAGCCAGGAACTGCTAGGCCTTGGTCCTCCGCCAATACTCCTTCCCCTGTCTCCATGTTCCCACATGAGCCATGCTATTTTGGTTACTTGCCAGTCGTCATGTCGGGGGGATCGACACACAGCATGCGACGTCTGCGCTTACGAAGAGGTAGATATAGTGAGCATTGGGCCTCACATGGGCGGGCGTATTGGCCACGCCCTTTCCGGTTGTCGTTGGTAGGTTAGATGACCACAAGTTATATTGTGCAGTTCAACCCGGTAGGACATGAACCACGCTCTTTGCTGCCTCGCGGAATCACGGCTCGTTGGGCCGAGATGCCGGAACATGGGCATTCAGCGCGCCGACTTATCATCGACGGCATGCAAGCTCAGTGATGACAGTTGGTAATCTCGGATGGGCACTCGAAAGGTACAATCTGATTCTTCAGCATGTTCTGTAGGGTGGGGAGCAACAAATGTTAGCCAATCCTTATAGAGCCTCTGAGCTGACAGGGAGAGTCGAATGGGTGAGAGCTCACTTTCTAGTCAACATGCCCGTTTCCTCCCACACACTTGAGACTCGACGTGCCCGAATCGGCGCACGGCCCGGTCGTCTGCAAGTAATCTAATCTTGAACGTGACTGAGCTGCGGCCCGTCACGATTGAGACGTCTGGGGACTTAGGCAATAAGATCCGCCACGTTCATGGGCATTTCGTCGATCTGGGTTGAGTAGTAAACTACATGGGGCCACGCATTGTCAGCTAAAAAGATCGAAAGATCGAAAGATCGAAAGACCGAGGGAGCAAATCTCGGATGGACCTACGCTCAATGTCACGGAGGATCCGCACGTCCTCGCTGGTGACGAAGTTGATAGCAACGCCCTTGCGACCGAACCTGCCCGAGCGACCGATGCGGTGGATGTAATTTTCACGGTTGCTGGGCAGGTCGTAGTTGATGACCAGGCTGACCTGCTGAACGTCGATTCCGCGGGCCCAGACATCGGTCGAGATCAGAACGCGGCTGTTGCCCTGCCTGAAGTCCTGCATGATGCTGTCACGTTCCTTCTGTGGCATATCGCCGTGCATGCTGCTGACGGTAAAGTTCGCCTCGCGCATCTTATCGGTCAACCAATCGACCTTGCGACGGGTATTGCAGAAGATAACCGCCTGGGTGATGGTCAGGGTGTCGTAAAGATCGCACAGGGTATCGAACTTCCAGTCTTCCTTTTCGATTGCGATGAAGTACTGCTTTAGCCCCTCGAGCGTCAGCTCGTCACGCTTGACAAGGATTCGGACAGGGTCCGTCATGAATTTGGTGGTCATGTCGAGCACGTCGTAGGGGAGCGTGGCTGAGACGACAACGACTTGGGTGGCGGGTGGCAGGTAACGGTACACATCGTAGATCTGCTCGCGGAAACCCTGGTTCAGAAGCTCGTCGGCCTCGTCTAGGACCAGCATCTTGATGTGGCGGGTGCGCAGGTGGCGGCGACGGATCATGTCGGCAACACGGCCCGGGGTTCCCGACACAATGTGCTGGCCATAGTCGAGCTTGCGGATATCCTCGCCGACGTTGGTGCCACCAATGCAGGCGTGGCACTGTACGTTCATGTAGTCGCCCAGGGCCATGACGACGCTCTGGATTTGGGTGGCAAGCTCGCGGGTCGGTGATAGGACGAGGGCTTGGGTCTCGCGCACGGCAGTGTCAATAACCTGCAGCATGCTGATCGAGAACGTCGCCGTCTTTCCGGTTCCCGACTGGGCCTGAGCGATTGTGTCGCGACCCTTGCACACCTGGACGATGGCGCGGGACTGAACGGCCGAGGGAGACTCGTAGCCGTAGGCGTAGATGCCGCGCAGGAGGCTCTCTGGGAATAGGGTGTCAGAGAATGCTTGGCGACCGTCGTAGTGGAAAAGGCGCATTTCTCTTACCTTTGAGAGCCATGGACTCGAAAGTCGGGTGCACCGTCACTTCCTTGGAGGTGGTGAATTCCATCCTCTCCTCGGCCTTGCGGTCAATGCCACTGCCGCTGCCGCTGCCGCTGCCGCTAGCCTCGGCCATGATTGCGGTGTGAACAAAAGGGACTCGCGGGTTGATAGTGAGGGTTTCGAGTTGAAGGGTTGAGGCTTCGATCGCGGAGAATTCAGGATGCGATCAATGCTTGTCGCGAAGAAGACGCAAAAGACCAAAGTCTGGGGCAAGGCGAAGGTGGCGCTGTGGTGGGTCTCTGACGACTTTTTGAAAAATTTATGGAGCAGGCCGCAACAAGTACCGCGTTGATTGGCGACTGGGTACACGTCCATCAAATTCGCGATCAAACCACGGGTTGACGGAAAGCTTCAGCCTTGTCAGTTCTTCCAGGTTATTGTCTGTCCATTCCATCTCCAAGAACTGGCAAGGTCGCCCATCGGCCACACTACAACCTTTCTGTAAACAGAAGCTTGTTCTTTGCTGAAGACTGCCCGTCATGCTTCTGGAGGACCAGCGCTATGTCCAAGAGGACTTGGAGCGGCTAGAGCAGGGTGTCGCAGACCGCATGAGCTTCGAGCCAACTTTCGTGCGTCGCGCTGTCTCGCCCTTCGGTCATGATAATGGCCTTTGCATCGTCACCCGGCATGCGCTAACAATTCCCCTACTATGCAATAGATTCGCGATCGCTTGAATCGAGACCATGAAGTATCGCAACTCCTCGATCAGATCCAGAAGCAGTCCACCGAGCTCATCGCTATGTACGAAGATGCCGACGGCCAGCGGTCCAAGGAGGTCCAGATGATCGGCTCTGGTGACCCCTTTGAGGAATTCTACAGGCAGCTGAACGACATCAAGGAGCACCACGCCAAGTATCCGAACGAACAGGCCCAAAACCCCGAGCTTCGGTACCGACCAAAGAGGGACGGCCCTGACGCGCAGCCTTATTTGGTTGACGGCATGTTCTCGGGTGAGGAGGCCTTTGGAAAGTTCTTCGATCTACACATGTCGCACGAGGGCTTCATCAACCTCCCCAACGTCAAGCACTGGTCCTATCTGCAGTACATTGAGCTGTTTGACGACTTTGCGCCTGGTGCTGGTGGCGTGAAGCGTTCCGACAAGCTTACAGATCAGTACTTCAAGTACGTTGGCGATCTGGCAGGATACCTCGAGTCGTTTATCCGCCGCACGAAGCCTCTCGAAGACCTCGACAAGCTCTTCGCTACGTACGCCTCCGATTTTGAGACTGCCTGGGAAAAGGACGAGGTGCCCGGCTGGGAGCTTGAACAGCCGGGCGGGGCGGGCGGTTCAGGCGCTACACGTACTTCCAGCACTGCGGAAGCAGTCTGGTGTGCCGACTGCGAGAAGGAATTCAAGAACGAGAACGTGCACAAGGCCCATCTGACGGGCAGGAAACACATCAAGGCTGCCGAGGCACGGGCTAAGCGACTACATGACGGAGTTGAGGAGGCCAACGGCGACTCCAACGGTGGGGTCGGCGGCAAGAAAGAGTCAGCCGCCCGCCTCAAAGAGCGTGCTGTCGCCGAGCGCGAGTACAGGATCAAGCGCCTCGCTGAGGCCCTGAAGACGGAGCGTGAAGAGACCAAGGTCAACGTGGAGCGGAGACAGGGCATGACAGAGCGCGAGCGCCAGCAAGAGCTGGAAAACTTTTACAGCCTGACAAGCAGCAATTCGGGTGGCTACAACCCCGAGCTGATGAATGTGGACGAGGAAGACGACGAGGATGATGACGGCGAGGAGAAGATCTACAATCCGCTAAAGCTGCCTCTGGCCTGGGATGGCAAGCCGATTCCGTTCTGGCTGTACCGACTGCATGGACTGGGTGTCGAGTTCAACTGCGAAATCTGCGGAAACTTTGTCTACATGGGCCGGCGGGCCTACGAGAAGCACTTCAACGAGGCGCGCCACATATACGGCCTCAAGTGTCTTGGTGTTAGCAACACGGCGCTTTTCCGCGATATCACTAGAATCGAGGAGGCGCTCAAGCTGTGGGAGAAGATCCAGCGCGACCGCAAGAGGAACAAGGTGGACGACGGCAGCGTGGTGCAGATGGAGGATGCCGAGGGAAACGTCATGCCCGAGAAGGTCTACTACGACTTGCAGAAGCAGGGACTGCTCTGAGTCGGCCAAGGCAGAAGGCCAACTGGCCCCATTCGTCTCGCGGCGGCGTCGGTTATGCTTGCCACTGCCTGTCCGCATTTCGAGGGCGATCTATTTTTACCAGCTACTTTCGGCACGGCCTCTGTGTTTTCCGCATTGTCTGCGTGGAGCTTGTCTGGGCTGCCGCTGTAAGTTGGGACGATGCATACCTGTGTACATGTAGATAGGCGTCTTGGGCGTTAAATGACACTGCGGCTGACTCTGACGCGATTGGGATCCAAAGCTCTGCCGAGGGGCATCGAATGGCAGGTGGATAGATGGATGGATTTCCGGTGGCTGTCGGCATTTGTCGGCAAGGCGGCTGTTTGGGGGTCTCCTCTGCCAGGCCTGCAGACGCCTGGCGCCGGACGCACCAACACACATCTGCCACATGTGCATGCTCCGAATCCGGCTGGCCTGCCTCGCCTGCCTTGCCCGCCTGCTCAGCCGACCGGGGAGCCGATGGCGGGCGCCTGAGGCGAATGCTGGCGGCCAGAAGCTTCGCAGAGTGCAAATTCATGCTGGTCTCTGCATTTTTAAAGGCCGTAGACGCCAGCCGATTTGGCCACTGTCATGCGGTTACAGCCAAGTGGCGGATGCGTTTGTTTCGTCGCACGCCGTTCTGGGCGGGACGATTGGCTGTGGCTTCTCGTCGCTGTCTGGGGTTGGCCTGCACTGCAGTCGGCCAACCCCTGTTGTTGGCCTGCTTCCCCCAGCGAGCGCTTCCACACCACAGGCCCCCACGCCCCTCCATCGAAAAAAGCAATCAGATGGTTTGGAAGTTTGCCCCCTGGCTGCCTCCAGCCGCTCCATCCTCCCGGAGCTCTGTTCCCCCTTGGCAGCTTATTCACTGGGCCTTCGTCCAATGGTGATTAGGCTTGCTGCTTGAAACTAGACCGTCGAGCTGGTTCACGGCCTGTCGCGCGCCGTCGCGTCTAGAGAGGCCCGAGAGGATTCGCTGCCTGTCCATGGTGCCATTCTTCATGCTGTTGATGCCTGAGCGTAGTCGAATGACGTCGGGCCAGCGCTGTTCGTTTCCCCTTGAGTCTGCTGGTCCATCCCCGTCCCTCAGCCGAAGTCGCATGCATCGGCCACTCTCGCCCGAGCACCTCTCCATGCAAGAGAAGGGCGACGCATGTGCTCCTCTTTACCCCAAACCCACCGAGTCCTTGATAGGCTCAAGCCCAAGTGGCCCAAAGCTGGAGCCACCAGATATGTATACCTGCCTCGAAGCTGGACGTTACCACGCTGCGCAGCCAATTCGAACCTTGGCTTATCAATTGCCGTGCTCACGTTTTGCCGCCCTGCCCTGCTCTCCGCTAATACAGACTACCACCGCCACCACCACAACCTCGTCAACTACCGCCCATACCTAGTTCAGCCTGGTAGAACCCCCGGGCCCGCGCTTGTTGGTGGGCTGTTCGTACCGTCCACACCGTTCAGCCCATCAAGGGTCGTGCCCGTGGCACCTGCGTACCTATCTACCACCTACCACCTACCACCTACCACCTACCTTGGCCGGGACCTAATCATTAGTAGCCTCACCCCATTTCACCAGGGCCTCGACCCTGACCCTCCCCTTCAGATCGCTGTGTTGGGCAGGTCTCCTCATGGCGGCGTCGGGGACACTCTCAAGATAGCCTTGGGAACTCTCCGCCTCAGAGATGCCCACCATGAAGCCGAATTGGCACACGGAGAAGGCGACCCAGCTCCTGCGAGAGCACCGCGAGGAGCATGCAGACCCCGACTCGCCGGTGGTATGCAAGTGCCAGTGCTCAAAGTTTCCCAAGGATGGCAGCTTCACATACAAAGAGATCAACTACATCATGGGCCGCATCGTGGACGAGAACGGATCCGTCGAGCTGGTCAAGGCCCTCCTCGACCTCGGCGGCGACGTCAACCACATCCGCCGCAGCAGCTCGAGCCTGTGGAAGAAGGTTGCCCGCCGGAACCAGCAGCCCGAGCGCAGCGACGTGCTCCAGATTGCCACCGTCCGCTGCGGGCCGACGCTCGTCGAGGCCCTCGCCGCCAAGGCGGACCAGGAGAACCTCGACAACGCACTGCACTACGGGCTCCTACGGCGCGACCTGGACATAGTCGGCGTCCTGCTCAAACACGGCGCCGACCCGGCTCCGCTCCACGAGGACTTCGAGAAGGCCATGATCTGCAGCGAGACCGACATCATCAGGCTGCTCGTGTCGGGCCCCAAGCGCCCCTGCGTCGACTGCCTCTCCGTCTCCCTCACAATGGCGGTGCAGAACAGCGCGACGGAGATCCTGCGCCTGCTGGTGGCCGCCGGCGCAGACCCCAACTACGGCCTGGGTGCCGCCATGGCCATGGCCGTCGGCGCCAACAAGATTGACTACCTCAGGATCCTCATATCAGGCCCGACACGCGCCTCCGAGGCCTCGCTCGACATCGCGCTCGGCGTCGCGCACCAGAACCTGTGGGATAGCGACGACGCAACGCAGCGGCAGATGATCGACATTTGCCTGCGGGCCGGCGCGCGCGGCGAGCGCACCGAGCGGCTCTTCACGTCGGGCCTCGTCAACAGCGTCAAGAAGAGACAGTCCCGCCTGCTCGAGCTGATCCTGCAGAACGCCCGCCCCGCCGACCCCTTCCACACCTTGGCCGTCCTCGAGGCCATCAAGGGCAACCAGACCGTCACGCTGGCACGACTGCTGAGGCTGAGCCCTTCGCAGGGCTGCATGGTCACCGCGACGGCGCAGGCAATGAAGATCAAGGACAGCGAGGTCATGTACGAGACGGTGGCGCTCCTGCTGTCGATGGGCGTGCGGGGCCGGCCCGTCGGGGATGCCTTTGTCCAGTGCGTGCGACTGCTCAGCCGCGGGCAGGCCAGCCCCGGCGGCCCGGACCCGTTCCACCGGGAGCTGGGGAAACTCCTCCTGGGCGCAGGCGATGCCGACATCAACCAGTCGCAGGGCGAGGCCCTCCGAATCGCCATAGTATCGAACCTGAGGCAGGTCGTTTGCGCCGTCATGGACAAGCGGCCCGCCCTGCCGACCCTCGAGGCCGCGCTGCCAGCCGCGATGCGCGTGAGGGACGCGACGTACAAGATGGAGGTGGTGCAAATGCTGCTACTCGGTGGGCTCGAGGGTCCCGTGGTAGACAAGACCCTCGTCGATGCCGTCAACGCCGCACCCAGGAATACGCCGCTGGTAGAGCTCCTCCTGACGGTGGCGTCGGTCGACCACAACGCCGGCGAGGCGCTCGTGGGCTGCATCCGGAACCAGGACCTGGATCTGCTCAGGCTCATCCTCGCCAAGCGTCCGGGCCGGCAGGCCGTATCCTCGGCGGCGCGCGCCGCCATGGACCTCGGCACCGTGGACAGGCGGACGACCATCGGCGAGCTCATTGGCAACTTCGAGACTGAGCACCTCAATTTCTGCCTCGTGCAGGCTATCGGCATGCCGAAGAGGGATATGACCCTCGTGGGCATGCTGCTCGACGGCGGCGCGCGGCCCGAGCTCGACGGCGGCGTCTGCATCAAGCTCGCCGCTATGACCTCTGACATAATCCTGCTCCGGCTGCTGGCCGCCAAGACGGGCGCCAACGAGAAGGTGTACACTGACGCTCTCGCGCAGCTCATCTCCACGGACCACTCCTGGATGTCACAGTCTCGCGTCGAGATTGTCGAGCTTCTCCTCAAGCACGGCGCCTCGGGACACGTGGTAAACCGGGCTCTGCTCGATGTCGTCCAGGCAATGTTGCCATCTCGCAGCCCCAAGATGCCAGCCAGCCCCAGAACTCCCAGGAGTCCCATGAGGCCGATGAGTCCTATGAGCTCCATGAGTTCCATGAACCCCGTGCATCCGACGACCCCCAAGAAACCCCTGAGATCGATGAGCCCGATGAGCTCCATGAGCCCCGTACACCCGACGAGTCCCAGGAGCCCTGCGAGCATCAGGTCAGCCTCCTCACAGTCTTGTAATCTCCCGGCCGATTCGCTCCTCGACCTCCTTCTCGCGCACGGCGCAGACGTGAACTTCGAGGGCGGAAAGCCCGCCCAACTGGTGGCACGCTCCGGCGACCGGCACTCCCTGCGCAAGTTCCTGGCCCAGCGCGGCGCGAGCCAGCGGACGGCCACGGCGGCGCTCTACGCGGCCATCACGGCCGGCCACAGCGAGGCGCGCCTCCTGGAGCTGATCGACGTGCTGTCGGACCACAAGGCGGCCGCCTCGCCCGACTTCAGCGCGGCCCCGGCCGACGGCATGATGCCGCCCGTCTTCCTCTGCCTGGCCGCCTACCCGCGGTCCACCATGGTGATCAACCGCCTCATCAGCGCGGGCTGCAGCCTGGACCAGACCGTGGCACAGATTGTGTACGGGCCGTTGTCGGACAGCGGGAGGGACACGCCGCCGTTTGGGCAGGAGCCGGTCAACGCGCTCATCTGGGCGCTGCTGCAGCCGAGCCACAGGATCAGTTCTGCCGTCATCACAGAGCTGGCGGAACAAGGAGGTAAGACTAGCTGCCCCGATGGTACCTCCTGCGACAGATACTGCACCGAGCCCCCGAACTAACATCTCAACCCAGGCAACGTCAAGTTTACGACCACCAGAAGCAGAGTTACGCCCCTGCTCTTGGCGGCCAACACGGGCCGGCCGGGCCTCGTCGACAAGTTCATCCGCCTCGGCGCCAGCGCGTCCGGACAGGACGCCTTCGGGCGGTCGGCGCTCTTCTACGCGTCGCGCATCGGCAACCACGAGTCGGTGGTGCTGCTCCTGAAGCAAAAGGTGCCCGCCGACGACGGCAGCCTACACGAGGCGGCGCGCAACTTCCAGGTCGACGTCATGGAGAAGCTGATCGCGGCGGGCCACGATCCCAACTTCCGCTCCTGCCAGCACCACGGCCACACGGCCCTGACCGAGATGGCGAGCAAGGGCTCCGTCCCAGAGGACCTCGACGCCGCCGAGGCCGCCGTCGACCTGCTCAGGCGTGCCGGCGCCGACCCGCTGCTCCAGGTCGGCGGCAAGACGGCCGTGTTTTGGGCGCTCGAGAACAACGGCGGCAGCCGGCGCAGCAGCCGGGCCAGCGGTGGAAGCCAGTCCGTGGGCGGCGGCGGCGGCGGCGGCTGCAGCGGCGCCGAGGCTATAACGAAGGTGCTGCTTGAGGGCATCCTGTACAAGACGCTGGGCGACGAGCGTAACGTGTTCCGCGACGCGGCCGTCGATGGCTTTTTCTACTACTCGCCCACCATGTACCTGTCCAAGGGCCGGTCCAACGCGACGCCCGAGGTGGCGCAGGCCCTGCTCGCGCTGCTGCGGACCCATGCCGCCGTCGACCGCTTCTACGCCGGCGCCGACGCCGACGAGCAGCCGCCCGACGCGGTGGGCATGCCCGAGGAGATCCGCGAGGTCGAGCGCGAGCGCAGGGCCAGGCGGCTGCGCCAGCAGAGGGCCGAGGAGGAGGCGGCGGC